CTCAGAAACCCTGTGTAGGGTCTCTATGAATTTGAATCGACTCAAATCCACAGTAGTGGATTTGGTTTGAATTACCTTACATTCATCCTGACAAGATTATAAAATGTAGAAAGAAAAAAAAAAAGAGTCAGAGACTGATGTTATTAAAATTCCATAGTCATATCCCTGACCATGACCTATAATCAACATTTCCCCTGTGCTAATTTGTTCATGCCAAATATACTTCTAGGAGAAAAATTTCTGGACTAATTGCATTTAGTTTGGCAGTCTCAGGTCACTATAATATTTTGGGGCCACTAGCCTTTAGTGTGGTTAATTATTCTTTCCATGTACGGAAAGATTTTGTATACCTCTGTGTGCTTGAGATAATTGTCTGCAAATAGCCACAGGACAGTAATGAGGATGGAGTTGACAACAGGAGGAAGGCATTAAGTGAGATAAATTTCAGAGACAAGGAAGACTTGAGTAAGAGTTTGTTTTTTTGCACATATCATTTAAGCTTTTGCATGGTGACAGAAAGGAAAAAAGATGCAGTTGTGGAAAGATATTGAACACAACAGAAGAATAATTATGTGTATTTTTGATTCCGGAGAATGAAAATTAACTAATTTTTAACTACAAGTTGAAAATGTCTTGGAAATCCAAAGGCACTGCAGAAGATACACTGCAGTGCAGAGTTCACACTTTTCCTTGGGTCAGGACGGGATTGAGATATAGTCTGTATTAATAATGGTATCCAGGAATCTTTAGGAAAATTTATTATCACAGAAAGTAAAATCTAACATGCTTGCTGTCTTTATAATGAGCTTGTTATCTGTTTTACTTCTATATTTAGAGATGTGGTCACTGAGAGTCAGAAATGACTTGATGGAACTTAACAACAACAACAACAACAAAGATATATAGAAGAAAATCTATTAGATACTAGTGATAATTTTAGTTTAAAAAAGTAAAACCCCAAATTTGTAGAATTGAGATGGATAAAGAATGATTAAAAGTTTGCTTAGGAAAAAGAATTTCAGGGATCTAATTTATCCTAAATAAAAATAACATAGTTTAGGGTAAAATTATATGAGGAGAAGGGAGATAACATGTAGAAAGTGAAATGTGTAATGTGTAAAAACCAGCAATCAATGATTTTGCTCTCATTTATGTTTTTAAAACTTACTAGAATTTTTTTCTAGGTCACTACATTGAGATGTTTGGTGGTGAGATGGGGATGGTTTAACAAGACTAAAAAGATAAAGGGGTAGAAGATGAATCCTATGAGGAAAGCCTAAAGGAAATGATGTGATTAACGCTGTAAGGAATGGACTAGCTATCATCATTCACTTTGACCAAGTTCAAAGATATTAAACATTTATGAGAGAGTTGCTGATAATTTCTTTATGTTCACAGAAGAAGAATTAAGTGGACATGGGTTTAACTGAAAGAATAAAAGCTTTCTTTTGTGTCAGAAAAGTACTGTTGTATAGTTATGCTAATGAAAAGCAAGAAACTAAGGAAAGGAATGAGTTCACAATTCTTCTAAACTGAGGAAGACCTTACAAGTTCTGAATGAAAAAAAGGAATTGAATCAAAACATATTTTTAGAGTTCTTTCAACTCAATATTTTCTTTGGGGATAATGAGCATCTGTCTCTTTTTAAAAAAAATATATGAAATGTAAAATGAACATGAATCTATCACAAAGTCCAATTTCACACAGATCAAGATATTTAAATGATGATTTCATCAAATGCTGAAGAATCAAGGTTTGTCCCATGTCATAATTGCTTAAGTGGTCTAAACAAGTTACAGTGATTCCTTATGACAATCAGTCATCATACTTTCTGAGAAAAATAGCTAGAACAGAACCAGGGAATCCAAAGCAGAATATTCCCTAATGGTAATGGCTTTAAGAGAGAATGTACTCTTTCCAGGGATGACTCAGAACCCAGTGCTTTCTTCTAAAAGCAGTTCAGAGATTATTGCTCAGAGCCATTAGATATATACTCAAGAAATGTGAAAACCTTAAGATAGGAACTAGGTAACTTTCCAGATCTGCTGATATTTTGTTTGCATTACTTTTTCTTTCTCAGTTTTTTATGGGCTTTTAAAGTATTTACGTCCTGATATGATGTTGTGGGAGAAAGTACCGGAGCACAAGGTCAGTTTGAAAAACAAGGCTGGTGGTTCAAACTCACCAGCTGCTCCTTGGAAGCCTTATACAGGGTCACTATGACTCAACAGCACTTAACAACAACAATAACAAAGTAATTAAGGGAAAATTTGGGCAATTCAAATGGTTAACATACTCAGCTATCCACCTAATTGTTGGAGGGTTCAGTCTATCCAGAGGTGTCATGAAAGAAAGGTCTGGTGTCCTACTTTTGAAAAAACCATAATTGGAACCCTATACTTCTACTCTGAAACAATAGACTCAATTGCAACTTTTTTTTTTTTTTTTTTTAAGGAAACAGGTGCATTTTGCCTTTGGGCCCCACTTCGCCCTCTTTTCTTAGTTTTAGCTATCATTCCTGGGGTTTGCTCCTCTTCTGCAGAACAAATCTCTTATCTCTTCCAGCAATGAATCCAAGCTCATTGCATCACTTATTTATTCATCATCATAATATGCATGAATAAGATTTCAGCTAAGGAAAACCATTTGATGACTTGTCTGCAATGTAAGTAAAACTATGAAATGCAATATCAAAGCAGCTAGGCGGCATTTAACAACAAAGACTTGAATACTGAGTGTTGTTAAGGGCTGTTGAGTTGGTTCTGACTTATAGTGACCCTGTATTGGGTTTACGAGGAGCGGCTGATGAGCTTGAACTAATGACCTTGCAGTTGAAATAGACTTTGTAGTCCAGCGTATTCTTCCACAGTGCCACACCGGGATTCTAGTACTGGGTGCTAATAGGAAATACTCTGGAACCTGGGGTTTTTAAGACTGCCCCTTTAAAAGACCCAATCGTGGCAATCTCTTCTGCTGCATATAATTTTCTTTGTTTTCCATTTAAATGATTATCTTAGTCTCCTGGTGCTTTTGTACTCCCTTCTTGTTCTCATCTTTCTATCAATTCCCTTTCTGAATTAAAAAAAAAAAAAATTAACTTATTTCCTTTGTTTCCACATTGCCCTCATTCTAGGCTCTATCTCCATATCTTTAATTACATCGAACATCCAAATTTTTTTCAGAATGAATTAATAAATTCTCTTCTAATTTTGCTAACATACATCTTTATAAATTTAATTTTTTACCATTTCTTTTACTCTTATTAGTCATATTTTACTATTCAAATTTCAATTTAAAGAGTTGTTAAGTACCATCGAGTTGATTCTGACCCATAGTGACCCTGTATAGGGTTTCCAAGGAGCAGCTGGTGAGCTTGAACCATCCACCTTGCAGTTCTAACGGCTTTGCAATCTGATGCATTACCCTGCAGCACCACACCAGGGCTCTGTTATTCTCATGTTATGGTATGTTGTTGTTGTTAAGTGCAGTTGAGTCGGTTCCAACTCATAGTGACCCTGTATAGGGTTTCCAAGGAGCAAGCTGGTGAATTTGAACTGCCGACCGTGTTGTTCAAACAGATCTTGTGGTCTAGTATTTTATCCCACAGCATAACACCAGGACTCCTTTCATGGTATAGTCTCATTCTCTGTAACTACAGAAATATATAATATTTATAGCTATGTTTTTTTTAAGACTTCCATAAAGTAGAATAAGAATGTGACTATACTACAGTCAACTTAATGATGGAACTTCTACTTAGAGGGACCCACTGGTTTCCATATGGCATCAAGGTGTTTCAAATGACTTCTACTAAATTAATCACTTCTCTAGACTTAGTATTACATAAATATTTTCTATAGTCTCACAAATAGTCTCATTCTTATTCTACTTTATGGAAGCCTTAAAAAACATAACTATAAATATTACATTTTTCTGTAGTTAAAGAGAATTTTTTTGGGTCTTATTTTCTTCCTCTTTCCCATAGACATTTTGATTAGTTAGTTTGTAATTTCTGACATGAAGGTTTGGTTATAAATCATAAATTTTTTATGTATTTCATACTTAACACTATTCTAATAGCCTAAGAGTCCCATCTAATATCTTATCTCATTAATTTATTCCACATGTAAATTTTTCCAAGATTGATATATATTCTTTTTTTTTATCTTTAGTTATAGAGAATAGAAGGAGAGAAAATTTGAATGTTGGAGAAAGACAGGTAGATGTTTAATGTTTAATTAAGCAATATAAATACTAGAACAGGGACTTTGGAAACTGAACGTTGTCCAAGAATTTAGTGAAGTTGTTCATATGAATCACTGAAATCACATTAATTCATCTTAAATCACAGTAATAAATATTTGAAGATGATCTTGTCATATAAATATAGAAAATATTTATGTAATACTAAGTCTAGAGATGTGATTAATTGAATAACATTTTAAAAACCTTGATGCCATATGGAAACCAGTGGGCCCCTCCAAATAGAAGTTCAGTGATTAAGGTTGATTTTGTGAAACATTAATATCATAACTGTTTTTATGAACTGGAAGCTTTTTTTCTAAAACACTTATTATTATCATTATTATTTTTTCCTTACATGCGTTTTCTTTTTTTTTTTTTCTTAAATGTTTTATTGTGAATTATGTGATAGTTTACATGGGAGAACATTAGTTTTACATTCATTCTATTCATTCATTGCCATGGTTACAATCTCCTCCATGCAATTCTTCCCCCGTGCCCCCCAGGTCTTCAGCACACAGTTGCTCTCCCTCTCTGGATCTAAAGTCTCCAGCTGCTCCATAGCTCCACATCATCATCTCTGGCTCCATTTCAGGCATCACTGCTTCTCTGGGTAGGGTCCCACTCTCTGCTCTTCTCCCTTGATGGTCCTAGAGACCTCCGCTCCTAGACTGAAAATAAAACACTTATTTTTGCTGAGGTAATTTCCTCTCATTTTCTTCTTTGCTTTCTTTTAGGTAGCCTGAAAGGTCATCCTGGTGTCTGAGGCAATTGAATGGAATGAACCACTCTGTAGTAACAGAGTTTGTTTTCCTGGGACTCACCAATTTATGGGAGATTCAGCTTCCCCTTTTTGTTTTTTCCTTTTTGTTCTACTCTGCAAGCATGATGGGAAACTTTATCATTGTGTTCACGGTAACATTCGATGATAATCTGCATTCCCCCATGTATTTCCTCCTGGCTAACCTGTCTATCATTGATATGGTATTTTGCTCAATAACAGCCCCTAAAATGATTTGCGATATTTTCAAAAGGCACAAGGCCATCTCCTTTTGGGGATGTATTACCCAGATCTTCTTTAGTCATGCTGTTGGGGGCACTGAGATGGTGTTGCTCATAACCATGGCCTTTGACAGGTATGTAGCCATATGTAAGCCTCTCCACTATCTGACCATTATGAGCCCACGAATGTGTCTGTTTTTTTTAATCACTTCCTGGATCATTGGCTTTATTCATTCAGCGGTTCAACTAGTTTTTGTGATAGATTTGCCCTTTTGTGGTCCTAATATATTGGACAGTTTTTACTGTGACCTTCCCCGGCTCCTCAGACTAGCCTGTACAGACACTCATGGATTAGAGTTCATGGTCAACATCAATAGTGGACTCATTTCTGTGGGCTCCTTTGTCTTATTGGTTATTTCCTATATCTTCATTCTGTTCACTGTTTGGAAACATTCTTCAAGTGGTTCAGCCAAGGCCCTTTCTACTCTATCAGCTCACATAACTGTGGTGGTCTTGTTCTTTGGACCATTAATGTTTTTCTATACATGGCCTTCTCCAACATCACACTTGGATAAGTATCTTGCTATTTTTGATGCAGTTCTCACACCTTTTCTGAATCCAGTCATCTATACACTCAGAAACAAAGAAATGAAAGTGTCAATGAAGAGAGTGCACAGTTGGCTTGCCAATTACAGAAAGATTTCATAATTCATGCTATAAAGACATGGAACTATAGATTCTCCTTCATTCTAGTGACAGAAAAGACATTACTTTGTTTTCAGGAAATACTCAGGATTTACCCAAACCACTGCCTGCAAGTTGATTCTGATTCATAGCTGCACTATAGGGTTTTTGAGGCTGTAAATCTTTATGGAAGACTGCCTCGTATTTCTCCCATGGAGAGGCTGGTAGATTTGAAGCATTATTCTTTTGGTTAGAATCCAACGCTTAAGCCACTGCAAATCCAGAACGTTTCAAGATTTAGGTCATATTATATGCTTTTCTTGTTGTTGTTAATAGCCTTTGAGTAGATTCTGACTCATAGCAACCCTGTATAGGGTTTCCAAGGAGCACCTGGTGAGCTTGAACTGCTGACCTTGCAGTCCAGTGCATTATCCCACAGTACCACACCAAGACTCCATTATATGCTTAGACATCTATTATCTAATAAATCATGATATTGAATTCTCTATTAAATTAGAAATGATGTTATTCTTTGACACTCAGTACAAAGCATTATAAACAAAATAATATTGTCTTCTTGTTGTTGTTAAGCGCCATTGAGTCAATTCTGAACCATAGTGACCCTGTGTAAGGTTTCCAAGAAGCAGCTGGTGAGCGTGAACCACCGACCTTGCAGTTCAAATGACTTTGCAGTCTGACGGATTAGCCCACAGCGCCACACCAGGACTTCAATATAGTATTGTTGTTGTTAAGTGCCGACCCATAGCGATCCTGAACAGGGTTTCGGAGACTGTAAATCATTACGGGAGCAGAAAGCCTCATCTTTCTCCTGTGGAGCAACTGGTAGTTTCGAACTGCTGACCTTGCTGTTCGCAGCCCGATTTGTAACCATTACGCTACCAGAGCTCCTTCCAATATAGTACTAATAGCACTTTAATTACTCTACCCCTTGTTGTTATTGTTAAGTGCTGTCGAGTCAATTTCGACCCATAGCGACCCTGTATAGCGTTTCCGAGGAGCAACTGGTGAGCTTGAACCACTGACCTTGCAGTTCAAACCACTTTGCAGTCTGGCGCATTAATCCACAGCGCCACACCAGGACTTCATCCCTTAGGAGAGTGTAATATAGTTGAGAAAATAATAATAGTTTATCTTTTTCCTATACTTGGCATATTATCCTATTGGTATTTTATGTTAATTAATTATTTTTGTTTTCCTCCCCTCTCTCCCAAACCTAACGGACAGAACACACTAGCTGTTGTCGTCAGGTTGCTCCTACTCACAACGACTCTGTGCACAACAGACTGCAACGTTGCCCGATCTTTCATCATCCTCATAGTTGTTAAGTTTGATCCCACTGTTACTGCCACTTAGCCAAGTCATCTTGTTGGGGGGAGGGGAGGGTCTTCCTTTATATTTAGGAGACCCATCACTTTACCAAGCATGAGGGACTGGTCTATGTTTGAAGTAAGAAAGATGATGTTTCACCACCCTGGTGGCTTCTAAGGAGCATTCTGGCTGTACTTCTTCCAACACGGAAATGTTTGTTCTTCTGGAAGTCCATGGTACTTTTAATATTCTTCTCCAACATCATAACTCAAATGCATGAGTTCTTCTATGGTCTTCCTTATTAATTGTCCAACTTCCACAGGACTATGACACTATTGAAAACACCATGGCTTGGGACAGGCATACCTTAGTTCTCAAACTGACATCTTTGTTTTTGAAAATTTTAAAGAGGTCTTGTGCAGCAGATTTGTCTAATGCAATATGTCATTTGATTTCTTGATTGCTGCTTCCATGAGTGTTGATGGTTGATCCGAACAAAATGAAGTCTTTGACAACTTCAATTCTGTTTTCATTTATATAGATGCTGTTTATTGGTGCTGTAATGAGGATTTTTGTGTATTTTTTTTTACATTGAGGTGCAACCCATAGTGGAGGCTGTGGTAGTTGGTCTTCATCAGTTAAGTACTTCATAAGCTTTCTTCACTGTCAAACAAACAAGGCTGTATCATATGCATATCACAGGTTATTAATGAGTCTTCCTTTAATCCTAATGCCATGTTCTTAGTATTATTCAGTTCTCAAATTGTTTGCTCAGCAGACAGATTGAAAAATTACGTTGAAAGATTACAGTTCAGGCACACACCTTTCCTGATTTTATGTCATTCAGTATCCCCTTGTTCTATTCTAATGACTGTCTCTCATTTTATGCACAAGTTCCTCATAAGCATACCAAGTGTTCTGGTATATCCTTTTTTGCAGTGTTATCCATAGTTTGTCATGATCCACATAGTTTAAAGTCTTTGGATAGCCAATAAAACAAGAGTAAACAGGTTTCTTATGTTCTCGGCTTTCAGCCAAGATCCACCTGGTGTCAGCAGTGATATCCCTCGTTCTACATTCTCTACTGAACCTTGAATTTTGGAAATTTTGGCAGTTCCCCACCAACATACTGTTACAGCCATTTAAAAATTATCTTCAGCAAAATTTTACTTCCATGTGATATTGTTCAATGATTTACACATTCCATTGAGTTTCCTCTCTTTGGAATGGACAGAAATATTGATCTCTTTCAATCAGTTGTTCAGGTAACTGTCTTCCAAATTTCTTGGCACAGATAAGTGAGTGCCTCCAGTGCATCATCTGTTTATTGGCAGATTTCAATTTGTATTCTGTCAATTACTGGAGAGTTGCTTTTTGCCAATGCCTTCAGCACAGCTTGGAATTCTTCCTTTAGTACCATCAGTTCTTGATCACGTGCTATCATTTATTTTTGGTACAATTACTCTATAGATACCTTCCATCTTCTTTTGATGCTTTCTGCAACATTAAAAATTTTGTCAATAGATCCTTTAACACTGAAACTAGAGGCTTGAATTTATTCTTCAGTTCTTTCAGCTCTATACAACAGTGAATGAAGACTCACGCTCATACCTGTATTCTTACCAAATCCACCTGGAAACAGGTGATGAGCACTTAAGTGCTACCAAACAAGTGACAGAGTGTCATGGATGTCTTACACACCCAGAAATATAAAAATAAAACAAAAATTATATAAAGCAAAACAATATACAATCAACAAATAAATATAATAATACCATAATGTCTTGGAGAAAACAGGTGATCTCAAATCACACACATAGAAACAGGTCAAGGGGGCTCCAGCTATTTACTAAAGACAGGACCAGAAAATTTTCTGGAAGAAGTGGTAATGGAACTACCTAATAAGGTATTCAAAATAATTATATTTAGGACTCTTCAGCAGATTAAGAAAAAGATCAAGGAAAAAAAAGATAAAACCAAAGAAATCATAGACAAGATCAAGGAAAACACAGACAAAACTTCAGAAGTATTCAGGAAAACAACACAAGATCAAATTGACAAAATAGCAAATTGGAAGATATATAAAAATAGTAACTAGAAATTTCAGAAATAGAAAATTCATTGCAAGGACAAAGAAGTTGAATTAAATCAATGAAAGACAGAATCAGTGAAATTAGGCAATCCCTTAATACTAACATGTTAGAAGAATAGGGAGGAAAAAAATAAAGAAAGCCAAAAAATTATATGAAACATCATCCAGAGGAATAACTTACGTGTGATTGGAACTACAGAACAGAAAGAGATTTTTAAAAGTCCTTAGGAAATTGTCAAAGATATGTTGGAAGAAAACTTCCTTAATATCATAAAAGATAAGATTATGATATATTTATTCCAGAAGCTCAATGAACTCCAAATAGAATAGACTCCAAAAGAAAATCACCAAGACATTTGTAATCAAATTTGGTAAAACTAAAGACACAGAAAGGTCAGAGCAGATTGATGGTGGTGATGTGCTATGGAGACAGTTTCAACTCATAGTGACCCTTCATAGGGTTTATGGGAGCAGAAAGCCTCATCTTTCTCCTGAGGAACGGCTGGTAGTTTTGAACTGCTGACCTTGAGGTTAGCAGCCAAACTTGTAACCACTACACTCTAAGAGCTTCAGTGCAGCTTGGAAAAAAACCTAATATTAACTACAAAGGAGAACCAATGATTAAACTCTGACCTCTCAGAAGAAATTATGCAGACAAAAAGGCAATGGATGACATATACTAGAGGACTTAAAAAAGTTCATTGAAAATGAAATGAAAAGATAAAAATAAAAAGATACCAATTGCTATTATGTTGATTTTGATATAGTGACCCTATATAGGATTTCAAAGACTGTAAATCTTTACGGAAGCAGACAGCCTACATTGACTTGAGAGTCAGGTTAGCGGAGGAAACTAGTCTTTATGTTCTAGTATTTTTCTCTTTCTTGACATTGAGATGTAAAGAAAACAAAAATCCTCACCACTGGACCAATAAACAACATTCTTATCAATGGAGAAAAGATTGAAGTTGTCAAGGACTTCATTCTTCTTGGATCAACTATCAACACTCGCGGAAGCAGCAGTCAAGAGATCAGATCATGTATTGCACTGGGCAAATCTGCTGCACAGGAACTTTTTAAAGTATTGAAGAGCAGAGATGTCAGCTTGAGGACTAAGGGGCGCCTGACCCAGGCCATTGTGTTTTCAATAGCCTCATATGGATGCGAAAGCTGGACAGTGAATAAGGAAGATCGTAGAAGAATTGACGCCTTTGAGTTGTGGTGTTGGAGGAGAATACTGAAAGTGCCATGGACTGCCAAAAGAACCAATAGATCTGTTTTGGAAGAAGTGCAGCCAGAGTGCTCCTTGGAGGCCAGGATGGCTAAGCTTCGTCTCTCCTACTTTGGACATATTGTCTGGAGGAAACAATCGTTGGAGAAGGATGTCATGCTGGGTAGGGTGGAGGGTCAGAGAAAAAGAGGAAGACCCCCAATGAGATGGATCAGCCAGGTGGCATCATTGATGGACTCAAGTGTGGCAGCAGTAGTGAGGTTGGCCCAGGATCGGACATTGTTTCCTTCTGCTGTGCATGTGGTCACTATGAGTCGGTTCTGACTCGATGGCACCTGACAACAACAACAACAACATTTTTCTCTTTATTTG